GGGCAGGTGGCCCAGGCCTCCTGAGGTCCTTTTGGGCTCCAGGAAGCACCTTTTCGTGGAGAACGGCCAGCTCGGGCTGCAGGTATGGGGGACAGCTGGCCTCGGGTCCGGCCTCTGTAAAGCAGCTCTAGGTGCTTCCTGGCACTTGGTGAGAGCTGGATTCTGGAAGCGGCCGGTGGGGGCGTGCGGCCACTCAATCAAGAAGAGGACAGTGGGGGGTGTGCACAAGGATACCTGTCCCGGGCAGCTCAGGCTGCAGCAATAAAGGACCTGGGCGGCTTGTAAACAGTAGGAGCACATCCCCCCACGGTTCCGGGGGTGGACATCTGAGACGTGGGTGCCAGGGGACTGGGTTCTGTTGAGAGCCCCCTGGCGCGTTGCCGACAGCTGCCTGCCCGCCATGTCCTTGCGTGGAGCGGGGAGAGGACTTGGTTTCAGTGTATTTACCTCCCGACATTCCCGTCTTCAAATGCAGGCACCTCAGGGGTTAGGGCTTTGACCTGGGGACGTGGGGGGCCACAGCCTAGTCCCCAGCGCATCTGTAGGGGCTCATACCGTTCAGCGGGGTCGGCCTGTGGCATGCACCCCGCTGAGGTCCTTAGGCCTCAGGCCACCCTGTGGAAATCATTCCACTCCTCTGACCAAGGCTCACCAAACTTTCTGTGAACGTTCGTGAGTGTGCAGGCCACGCGGTGTCCGTGGAACTGCTCCGGCAGCTGTGGTAGCACCAGCACTGCAGTGGCTATGGCCACGTGCCAGTAAAACCTTATTTACAGACAGGTGGTGGGCTGCATTTGGCCTGCTTTCTGTCACGTGGCCGTCTTTCACTTAAAGGGACACACCAGCCCAATAAACGGATTTAGGAAAGTAAATGGCACAAAAATGGTTTGGCCCCACGGTTGAAAGAGCCGTGGTTGGTGTCTGATGAAGGGGCTTGGCCTTTTCCTAAAGATTTTTGTTCACGACAGGGCCTGACTGTACTTGTGAGCGTGCGTGTTGTATTTCCTGGGGTCGCAGGTCCGTCCCCAGGACGTTTCTGTCATTCCCCCAGTGTCCAGGACCGAGGGTTAGCAGCAGTGCTTGGCGCCTTCATGTGGATCTGCCCACGGCCGTCGAACAGCCTGCTTATGGTTCCTCCTGGGCGCGCGGTCTCGTCGGTACCGAAGGGGAGGCCGGCTCTGTCCGGGCTTATCCCTTCCTCGGGTGAGGTCCCTGGGAGGAGACGCTTGCCTCGAGTGACAGGAAGGGCCAGCGGCCGCGCCTCCCGCTCCAACGGGGCTGGCAGCTGGGGGCCTCGCCAGGCTATGTGGGCAGCCGTGGGGGGCTGTTGCTCCCCTCTCTGCTGTCACTCCGGCAGCACGGGTTTTGCCTGAATTGAGGGGTGCACCACCAAACGCATTGTGCCAACTAAGGAAATTGGCGTGGACAGCTCCTGGGGCCACCTGTCAAGGGATCTTTGAGGCGTACTTTGCAGGGCCATCGGCCCCACTGGACAGAAGCGTTGTCCGGGAAGCAGTTTCTGCTTACAAGTGGGGAGGGGCAGTAGCCCTCCTGTCCCGGCCCCAACTGTGCTGCTTCGCTGCTCGCGGCCGATGGTACCGGGGAACTGGCGAGGGGCCGCAGGGGCCGGGCCATGTCCAGACGGGTGAGTCTGGAACCAGGGGTGAGGACCGGGAGCTGTGGGGAATGGGCCCGTGCTGTGGGTGGGAGGCAGGCTGGGGGGAGGGGTGTCCCTTCCTGACAGTGCATCCCTCCCCACCTCCCCTCCCCCCCAACCAGCTTCCTGCCTCTCTCCTTTACTTCCTCCTCTGTTCCCACATGGCCCTGCCTGGCACTAGTGGGACCGCCAGCCGCCCCACCTTGGCTGACTGGGGCAGGACAGGTGCCACTTGGCGCCCTCGTGACTGAGCCTCGCTCAGAACGGAGCCCCGCATGCGGTTCGGGCAGCTGGGGGCTGCGTGCCCTGGTGGCGGCTCGGGGGGCCCCCTGACCTCCTCCCCCACATTTGTGCCCATTTCTCATCAGAAACGAAGGACACAGCCAACTCCCTTTGAGAGTTCTCTCTCTGTGTGTGGCGGGTGCTGATGGGGGTGGGGGATGGCTGTGAACTTGGGGAGCTGGTGCGAGAGCGGCAGAAACTATCAGCTCTAGTGACTCCAGAAGATCCTTGAAAACGCCTGTCTCCGCAGGCTTGGTGTGACAGGGGGAATGAAAACAAATAGTGTGACTTGCTGGCTGTCCTGAGGAGCCCGCTGTGAGCCCCTCCCGCCGCCTGCTCTGAGCCCCCTTCTGGGCCAGCCCCCCGCAGCTTGGAGCCTCCTCATGCTGGCCCAGCCCGGCATCAAGAGACAGCAGCCTGTGATGTCCCTGGTCACAGGGGAGCTGGTGCTGAGGGCTGGGCTGTTGGGGGTCTGCTTGGGCCCGGGAGGAGAGGCTCAGTCTTTCTGTCGGCCTCAGCACCCTTATCCCACCAGCTGGCAGCAGACAGAGCCGATAGGTCCATGGCTCCTGCCCTCCCCTCACCCCAGCTCAGCTTCTCTGCCATGTCCTGAACTCCAGCAGCTGTCGCTCCCCTCCCCCAGGACCCACTGCTTGCTCCCTGGGTGCCAGGGCTGCTCCAGAATCCTCGCCCCGGGACCGCCAGCCCCACCACAGCCAGAGCTTGTGGACCGGGAATGTGGCTCCACCCAGCGGCTCCGTCCCCCCGGCCAGCAGGGCTCGGGCCAGGTTCCAGGCCTCCCTACAGTGCTCCGACGAGCACATCCACGCGCCCCCCGCATCAGAGTGCACACAGGTGCTTTTTTTAATTACTCAAGGAAAAGCAATTGCACAGCCACTCCATACAAACCCCTTAAGCCACTGTCAATGGGGACTCTGGGGAGGCCACAGCTAGGCCAGGAATCTGAAACCCGGGCACCATCTGTGCTCCCGCCACTCCGAAGCCAAATTACCCCACCAGCCTTTCTCTCCTGCGCAGTTTTTCATTAAATGAATTGCGTTTGCTGGGAATCACTTGTCCATAAATATTCCCTCCTGCTCGGTGGCATGGTCAGGTTATCGTGGTCTCCAAGCCCCAGCTCCCCTTCCAACTCCCGTGGGGTGGGTAGCCCAGGAGTGGGGGTGGGAGCTGCGGCTGCGGGACATTCCTCAGGACACTTCTCAGAGCCCCTCCCACAGCCCTGCCGCACCCACCTCACACGGGGGTCCTCCATGGTCCCCATTTCCGGGGCAGATGGGGCAGACGTGGAAAGGCTTGTCAGGGTAGGGAGCACAGTTGCTGGCGTCCAGTCACATCTTTTCCTTCTTGCCGTTTCCATTAAGAAAGTGACAGTGACAACAACACAGTTGTAAAGGAGAGTGAGACGCGGGCTTAAAATGGAAACATGTTTTAAGCTATGGTTTTGGAAATGGGCTTCTCCTAAGCCTGTTTCTTTGACAGGGAGGCAGAAAGAGGACCTGAGAACGTTCTGAGCAGGCCAGCGTTCAAGGTTGGAGCTGCGGGGACCTGAGTGCAGGTGTCCCCGGGCGTGTCCCTGAATGGTCACTGCCAGGAGGCCTCTGGGCAGCACTCACAGGACAGCATGTCCTGGGGATACATGTCCCCATTAGGAGGCAAGGACTTTGTGCATTTTAGGCAAAGGTAGGAGGGCACCCCGGGGCCAAGACCACCTCCTGGGGTCCCCGAGGCCACCTGCTTCCAGGTGCTTTATCCTCCAGAGTCTAGACCAGTCTGCAAACGGGCCCTGGGCAGAATCGGACCCTTCATCTGTTTTTGTGCGTGAAGTTTTACTGGTACACTATTCGCTCCTGTATTATCTGTGGGGATTCTGAGCCCCAGCCGTGGAGTTGGGAGGTTGTGATGAGACGGGGCAGCTCACAAAGCTAAAAGTACTCACTGCCTGGCCCTTTATGCCCGCTCTGCCCCAGACGAGCATCCCTTCAGTTTCTCTCCCTTTCTGCAGCAGGATGATTTTCCAGTCCCCGGTGTCATCCCGCGGGTAGGTCGGGAGACCAGGGCTGCCTGAGTTCTTCCTGCTGATGGATCGCTGGCTCACTGACTGGAGCCCAGCTTCTGGAATCTTTAGCTGGCTTTTCTGACCCACAACTTCCCAAGGTGTCTCCAGGGTCCCTGGGACTCCTGTGTGCCTCCTGCATGGTGCCTGGCGCTGGGGGCCACCGAGGTGCAGTGGCCTGGAGGAGAGGCTCCAGGACGTGTGGGCTTGCGGGAGCTGTTCAGGGCACAAGAGGGACAGGCCTAGACAGCAGAAGTGGGGACAAGAGGGGCCCCATTTCAGTGTGTTCTCGCCGTGCTTGTTTGCCCCATGCTCGAAGCTCCCAGACGCAGAGGACCCTCCGGTCCAAGACAGCCTTGCTCCAGGTCCCCCCAGTGCACTCTGCCACCCGCTTCCTCACCAGGCCACTTTCAGTCTGAGCTCTGGCCTCCCTGGGCCAGCCGCTGAGCCTCTGGGTCCTGGCTTCCTCTCCCCGAACCTGTGAGGCAGCGTCCGTAAGCAGGCATGTGTGCACCCTTCTCGAAATCACTCGTTTCCTTTTTTGCTCTCAGCCTTTGGGGACTGACTGCTCCCCCCTTCCTGACCCTTGAAATGACTGCTGTTAAGAAGCGGTCTGCGTGCATTTTAACCTACTTGGGGGTACGTGTGTCGGACAGATGGCAGATTTTGGTTAGAGCCGACACATGGGCAGCTGGAGGTTGGACCCCTCCTGGCCTTGGGCTCCTGAGCTGCGTCCCTCTGCCTGACGACCCCCGAGTCCCCCGCAAAGGGTCTGCCGTCATTTCCCCAGGCTACATGCTGGGCCGGAGCTGTGACCCCACGGGGGTGGCCCGGAGGCTCCCACCAGAGGGCACGGCTTCGACTTAGGTCTCCACGGTCTGGAGGTAGAAGTTCTAGTAAGGGAAGAGGCCAGGGTGGGACTCACCCGCCTCTGTCGGGCTCACTGGTCACGGGCTTAGCAGATGTTCCCTGCACCGCCCCCCACAGTGCACGTGCCGGAAGGACATGGTCAAGATCTCCATGGACGTGTTCGTGCGTATCCTGCAGCCGGAGCGCTACGAGCTGTGGAAGCAAGGCAAGGACCTGACCGTGCTCGACCACACCCGGCCCACGGCCCTGAGCAGCCCGGAGCTGAGCACCTGGAGCGCCTCCCGGGCCTCGCTCAAGGCCAAGCTCCTGCGCAGGTGAGTTGCCAGGAGACTGGGCTGCTGCGTCCCCTGGCTCTGGGGTGACCGTGAGTGACTGCTGGCCAAGCCACTCCCATGCTCCCCCTGGCTGGTGGCTCCTGGCTGTGCCCCACCCCCCTCCTCCTCCCTGCCCTCCCCACTCCTTCCCATCCTCCCGCTCCTCTTCCCCTCTTCATCCCCTCCTCTTCCCTTCCACCTCCCCCTCCCTCTCCTCCCCTCCCTTCCTCCTTTCTCTTTCCTTCCTTTCTTTCTTTCTCTCCTTCTGTCTCTCTTGCAAATGTGTTTCTCAGATCCCGACTTCCTGGAACATGGTCTGTGGGCCTGGGAGCAGGTGGTGTCTGTGTTGTCAGGGACTCGGGTCCCTTCCCATTCCGACATCACCGACCCCTGGGTGCCCAGCCCTTTGGCCCTTGGGCCACACAGTTTCCTCTCTGGGAGGATGCAGGTGGTCCCCCTCACTCTCGTGACAGTCCTGGGCACAGGAGCCCTGTTTCGGCGTTGGGGGGCGCTCAGGTTCTTCCTTTCTTGGCTCCGAGCGACGGCAGGTCTCATGCTGGAGCCCATGTGGTAGCTGCACCCCTGTCCTTTTTCGCTGGGGACACTCATTTGGCGCTTCCAATATCCGGCTCTTTGGTTCGCGATTATGGCAGTGAGTGCAGAATCTTGTCCCCCAGGGATGTCCTTTACACCGCCGTCATGGCTCAGAGGGCCCCTCTCTGCAGCGTGGACCCCTCCAGGCCCCCGCCCTCATTGCCGGTCGCTGGGCCGCATGCCTGGCATTGGGTGGGGGAGGAGAGGGCAAAGCGACAGCACCCTATTGGCATGTCACCAAGGCTCTGGGGATGTGGGGGACAGTTCTGGGCTGAGGAGGAAATCAGCTTTGTGCCAGGAAGGAGAAACAGCCAGCAGCAGTGCCCAGCGGTGCCCTGGGACCCAGAACATCAGTCCACTGGCTTCTGCGGGAACGCCCAGGCTCTCCGGGTCTGAGCGCTCACAGACCCCGTTCTGCCGGATTCCCTCCTGGTGCCCAGAGAACATTCAGCACATCCTCGCCAGGCCCCCGGCCGTGAGCTGGAACCTTGTGGTGCGGGTCCTCATGGCTCACAGCTGCTCGACGGCGTGAAAGCCGCTGTGGACAGTAGATGTTCCATAAACCAGTGCGCGTGGCTGTCCCTGTAAAACCTCATTCACAGACGCTGAAAGTGCAGTTTCATATCCTCTTCCCCTGCCACTGAATAGGCTCGTTCTTGTCACTTTGTGAACCTTCAAAAGCAACGTCGCTGTCCTTAGCCTGTGGGCGCTGCCTCCTGCAGCCACGCGGTCACTTGCGGCCTCGTCTTGTCCCCGCTGGCTGTGGATGGTGTCTCTGGAGGCTGGGACAGAGCCCTCCTTCGGGAAGCCCCGTTGCTGGCACTCCCACGCCCTACAGGGACAAACGTCCTTGGACCCATTTCTGGAAAAAAAAAACATCCTGGCTGGGAGGCCGTGACGGCGCAGAGCCTGCCCCTAACGGAGCTGTTCTTGCTACTCTGTGTCTGCGAATCCACGAATCCTGGCCAGTCTCAGTCTCCCCACACGATTTCCCCACCCCTGGGGCCCCTGTCTCCAAGAATGTTCCTGAAAGCAGCTGCTCCTGACAGCCCTCATGGAGGTGAGTCTCTTTTCTTCTGCTTTCTTTTGTTATCCGTCCTTTAGATTTTTTGATTTTCTGCTCCCTGGTGCTCCTTGCGGAGAGCAGCTTCTGGGTGAGACCAGCCTTCAGCAGGGCGCGAGCAAGCTTGTGCAAGGCTCACTCCCAGGCCAGATGCACATTTGCATGACGGCAAATTAATTGTGGCTCAAGCCGATTCGGTCCGCGGAGCGGGTGACCAGTAAACAGGCGTCATACACCAGAAACGGACGGCGTTGGAGGCGTCTGAAGAGCCTGCCCAGAGGACAAGGGGACCCCAGCCGGCTGGCCCAGGACCTTCTCTGCCAGAGGAAGCGCCTTCTATGCCCTCCGCCTCGGCCACCCCCTCGCTGCCACAGCCCCCTTGTCAGACACTCTTGCTTTCTGGAGCGTTCCGTCTTCATCTCTCTGACAGGAGGAGCTGTAGTAGCCAGCCAGGGGGACTGGATTACAAATCAGCCTTCTTCCCAGGGATAGCATGTTCTGGAAAGTCTTTAGTATGTAAAATACGGCTATTTGCCTTCTTTTTCTTTAAAGTTAGGGGTTGGGGGTCTTTCTCAGAAAAAGCCAAGCTGGACACCTGCCCTTGCCCCTCAGCCTGAGCTCAGTGACTCTCCCAAGTCCCCTGTGACTCTCCAGGCCATGTGGCCTCCCGCCCTGCCAGCTGTGCCAGCTCCCCTGAGCCTCTGAAGGCTCGTTTTCAGGGAGGGGTGTCTCCCTGTGAGCACCCTTGGCTTGGGCCAGGGGTGAGGGATGATGCCGGGTCTGTCTTTCCCCTTAGCCCTGGGGACTCCAGGGCGAGGTCGTCTCTGGGAGGGCACATTCCGGGCTCTGTGGGAGGTGAAGGAGCACCCCTGACCCCCCCATTCAGTGTCAGGAGCACCCCCAGTTGTGACACCCACAGCTGTCTCCAGACACTGTGTGATCTCCCTGCCCAAGGGCATGGCGTTGGGGTGGCCTTCTCACCTGCCTGCTGCTCTCCTCCAAACCTCCAATCCCCCTGCAGCCCCTTCTCCTTCTCTGGGACCTGCAGCTTCTCCTCGGTCCTTGCTCAGACCAGCTCAGCCAGGTCCCCAACCCCCAAAGGTTCAGTCTTCTGACAGTGTGCTCCCCCCAGCCCCAACGTGGCCTCAAGCAGAAGTCAGGACTTGGCCTCTCCAGGAGACATGATCTGTACCCTTGTTGCCCACCTGCGGATTTATCTTCCACGCCAAAATCTGGTCGTGTGAATTGACCCCGCCCCATGACAAAGGCCACAAAGCTGTGAACTTCCCGCTTCTTGGTGTTCGGCTTCTTGGGTCCCGAGCACCTGGCAGACCTGTGCCTGGGCAGCTCAGGCCTCTGTGGGGTCTGGTGCCCAGCACAGGCCAACATCTCCGTGCTCTTCCTCCCCCTGTTCTGAACAAGCAGCCCTTTTCCAGATGCACACGGGCTTTTCTTCTCAGCTCCTTGTCCCTTCTGACGAGGGCTTTGAGAAACGCCCCGCCTCGACTGCCCGTTCCAGCGGGTATGCGACCTGCCAGCCGCACGCCAGCCTCAGAATACGCCCGAGCTGCCCTGTGCTGGCCATGCCCAGCTATCCACAGACCGGACGGTGGAGGGGGCTGTTCTCCCTCGCAGGGACCCTCAGGTCTCCATCCCTTTGTAGCCTCTGCCAGCTCTTGCTGACCTTGACCCCCACCTGTCCCCCTGGGCCGCTCTCCACCCACCACCCTCTTGTCGCAGTGGAAACAGGGAGCCCAGGTCCTGCCTCCCACCCCTCTGGTGCCTGCTGACCCACAGGTGTCCTGTCTCCCCTCTTCTCCCTGTGCCTGACACCCTGAGCCAGGCTAGAGGTCATCACATGTCTGGGCCTGCTCCTGCCACAGGCCCCCCGGCCCTGCTCCTGAGCCCTTCCCCCACAGACATACCTCCTGGTCTCTGAGGATAAGCCCTTTGGCGCCGGGGCCTGCCCACCCATGGTGGCCCGCCAAATGTGTCCTCCATTGTTCTTCCGAAAGCACACATGACCGTTTTTGAAGGTGGAATCCTTTCCTCACCGCTCAGCTGCTTGTCTCTGAGGGGAAAGGGGAGTGTGGCCCGTGGAGCCAGCAGGGTTGGGCGGGGAGAAGGGCCTTGGGCACCGGGTTCATTGGATGCAGCGGCTGTGCTGGCCCCGGGGGCCTTGGCAGCCCCAGCTGCTCCCTGCGGACGCTACCTGAGCAGAGGCCGGTCCTGTGAGAGCTGCCACCTTGGGTGCTCTGGGCCCCGCAGGCTAGGGGCCACCTGGAGCCTGCCGCCTGGGCAGGGGTCCAAGAGGAGCCCCCCACGCTGCCTCTCCTGCCGCCCGAGATCCAAGGACACCTGCTTCCACACTGAAAACATGAGCGTGGGTATTTGGACTCAGTACCAGCCTTTGGTTCACAGGAACTTATGGCCGTGGCCGTAGTCAAGCCTGGAGGGTAAAGTGTGTGGTTTTCTCCAGCCGCTCCTGACACCCCACCCTGACGACCATGCAGGAGTGGCCCAGAACAGCAGAGGGACGGTGACTGCTGAGCCGTGTCTGCAGACTTGGACAGAAGGTGGGGCCAAGCGAGCCCCACCTTTGCAGAACAGAGAGGAAGCTCGGATCCCAGGGTGGGCAGATAAGGAGCAGGCTGGCTCGGCCGGGGACTCTGGAAAGGCCTGGGCGCCTCCAGGGCCGGGGCCCAGAGGGGACTGGAGGCCAACTATGAGGCACAGCAGGGCTCAGCGTTCCCGCTGCCCCATCTCCAGCAGAAGATGGGGTGTGAGGCAGCATCTCCAACCAGAGAGAAGAACGCGGCCCATGAAGGAGCTTGTGTGGTGAAACGTCGGACACCTGGCCACGCGGGGGTCACTTGGGGTGGGGTGCGCCTGCCGGTGAGAAGCCTGTGCTTGGGGAGAGCGGGTTCCAAGTGGACGGACAGGCGGGCTGGAGTCGGCTCGAGGAGTTTCCCAGGGCCGAGAGGTCGGGCGGAGGACAGGGAGATCATGCCATAGAGGCTCCCCGGGCAGCTGCGGCCTCTGCAAGGCGTTTTGGGAAGAGAGAAAAGAACGTTGGCCGGGACCCAAATGCTGCATTTCTGGTTTAAAAAGTCTGGCGCCGAGGATGAAAATGCGCCAATGCACGCGTCACTATGTGGTTTCACAGCTCAGGTTAAACAGAAGGTCCCAGAAGCTTCTGGAAAGAACAGCTACGTCACATAAAGAACAGGAGATCTTAAAGGCATCAGACTTAGGCTACAGGCTAACACACAAAGGAAAAGGTGCTCAGAAATCAGAAGAGAAATAATTTATAACCCAAAAGGAATTACCTAATCAAATTCCAAGCTAAACATGCAAAGGGATGAAGATCTTTCTAGACGCATAAAGGCTCCGATTTCCCGTTCTTTGTGAGGAAGCTACTGGAGAATTGTGCTCCAGCCGAACGAGGGCATCAAGTGAGAAAGACGTCCTGTCGAGGGACCGGATCCTGCACAGGAGTGTCCAAGGCAGTCTCAAGGGGGCAGACCCCTAGGTGTCCCCGAGGACTGCGGGACGCCCTGCGTCAGAGGCTGTGAGCTTGGACATGACCGGGAAGGCCAAGTGTCTAAGACGAGCCAGTTTTAGCTCCAGGAGGAGTGGGCGGGCAGCTCTGTCACTCATGGGTGAATGACACCTGTGGAGTCGGAAAAAGGGAAGTCTGAGTGTCACCGCACTGACCGTGGTGGCAGTTGGGGGGGAGAAGTGGGGAGCCTGGAGGCGGCAGGAGGGGTCACAGCCTTCCTGTCTGTGCTGCTGGCGGGGCAGGGACACCTAGAAACAAATATGAGTGGGGGAGGTGGCCCATCTGGTGCGCTGGCCGGCGGCGGGGTGCAGGGGCGCTGCAGGGGGCCGCTCTGGCCGGATGCGGGACCCAGAAGTGCATGGTGGACACCAATTCCCGCCACCCCGACAAACCGGCCACATTCTCTCTGCGCGTGTTATCCCAAGACGGGTGTTTTCTTTGCGTGCTGACATTCGTCTTGCTCTCCCCACTCTGCAGCAGGGGTGGCCTTCCACCTGTGTCTGTCCGCCTGGCTCCGCCCCATTCAGGGGGTCTCCACAGTAGCAGGACTGGCAGGGCTTGGGGTCTGGCCCTGCGGCTGGAGCTGCCCAGAGCTCTGAGCCCCGTGTTGCTTCAGGGCCGAGGCAGGTCTGGGCTCTCTGGGACAGACAGGACTGCCCCTGGTCAGCCCTGCACGAGGCGGGCAGCATCCGAGGTGGCCTCCCGTTCCCGGCTCGGGGGAGGGGAGGAGAGAAGGGGGGCTGCAGGAAACCACGGCCAGGTGAGTAGGCAGTAGGAGGACGCCTTTCTGCTGGGTGCTGCCTGGGGCCAGTGGGTGGGGGGTTCACTCGTGGGTACCCTGCCCTGCAGCGTTCCTGGACCTGGAGAGATGCTCCTCCTCGGGAGACAGCTGGTGACGCAAGCCAGCTGCGCTCTGCTGCTGTCCCGGGGCTTGCTACCACGTGGGGCCCGCGTTCCCCAAAGTCGCTCCACGTGGAACCCCCGTGGCTCCGTGGTGCTGGAGAGCGTTCCCCACCTCCTGGCTCCCATGCCCCCTCCTGCCTGGCTCCTTGCCCTCGCGTTCTCCTGCCCCCCCCCCCCCCCCCCCCCCCCCCACCCCGCAGTGACCTGTGCACGCCATGATGTGTGTGACGCCATGCTTCTGCCCATGACACTCCTTCCCCGGAATGCTCCCTGCTTTCCGCCTTTTGTCATTGGAGTGGTTCGTGTGCAAACATCACCTGGGGCTTGTCAGCCTGGCCTCACCTGGGCTCAGGGGAGATAAGCAGCGGCAAGCCAGGGGGCCCTCAAGCAAGGCAGCTGAGCAGCGAGAAGGACCAGCAGCAGTTACCGTTAGGGGACAGTTAGGGGATCCCCCCACCCCCCGCCAGGAGCCGGCAGGGGCAGACATGGGAGGTGATGAGGCAACTGTCAGGCCCCTGTGTCCTGGGACAGCAGGGCTGTCATGGGCACCCCCTGGGTGGGAGATGGCGGTCCTGGCGTCGGGGGCCCTTAAGGCCTCCCCAGGCCCCCACCCGACCCCAGTCACAAGGCCCTGCTTTGCTTGGTGACCTCTTGGTCCTTGGAGGTGCGGCTGCCATAGGAACCCCCATAGGGTCTCCATGTCCATACTGACCTCAGTGGGGCCACACGGAGAGCCCCCAGGGGGCGGGAAGCTGCAGCCAGCGCCTCTTGGCTTTGCTGACCCTCAGGGAGAAGAAAGGCTGTGGGTCTTGAGACGTGAGCCTGGGGTTTCACAGGGCTGTCACCCCAACCCCTGGAGGGTGCCGGTGACGTGTCTGAGGCAGGCTTCTCCACACCCCAGCCTCTGTCCCCTCCTTGGACAGTTCCCGAGGCTGGACAGGGAGGCCCGGGCCGCGGCTCTGCAGGGCCGTCCAGCCTGCCTGCATTCCTTCCTTCCTTTTTACCGATTCCCCGGTTTGCGCTGAGAAGCTGTCGCCGAGCCTCAGGTGACTTCCCCGTTGGGGCTGAAGGCCGAGGGCCGCCCCCACACTCTTGCACCCCTGAGCGAGACCAGGCCCTGCTCCGGCGGCCGGCGAGTGAGGGACACGGAGCCACGGGTCCGGGCAGGTGCCCCAGGCCAGGCCCTTAGACGAGGCACCCGGGGAGTCAGCAGAAGTGCTAGAGAAAAACTCCCTGACGTTTACATTCTAGACAAATTAGTCTGAAAGAAAACAGACACTGGAGAAAGACTGAGGAGGACAGAAAGGCCAGTCTAGAAAGGAAGAAAGAGCAGCCCAGGAGGCCGGGGCCGCCGTAAGTCCACCTCGCCCCTCTGCGCAGGCCTCTCCAGCTGCCCCCTGCCTCCACCCCCACAGCGGCTCCTAGCCGGCATCCCCCGTCATCCCACCTCCCAGTCATCGGCACCTGCTCAGCCCCATGTGGCCCCTGGGCCTGTCCCCCCTCGACCTCCCCTACCACCGAGACTGTGCCCCCCACCATCCCACCTGCCGGCTGTTGGCACCTGCTCAACCCCATGCAGCCCCTGGGCTTGTCCCCGTCCACCTCTCTACCCCCGAGACAGCACCCCCCACCATCCCACCTCCCGGTCATCAGCACCTGCTCAGCCCTACGTGGCCCCTGAGCCTGTCCCCACTCCAGCTCCCCTACCCCTAGGTAGCACCCTCCACCATCCCACCATCCTACCATCCCACCTCCCAGTCATTGACACCCACTCAGCCCCATGGGGCCTCTGGGCCTGTCCCCTCTCCAGCTCTCCTACCCCCGAGCCAGTACCCCCCATTATCCCACCTCTTGGTCATTGGCACCCACTCAACCCCACGCGGCCCCTGGGCTTGTCCCCGTCCACCTCCCTACCTCCAAGACAGCACCCCCCACCATCCCACCTCGCGTTCATCAGCCCCTGCTCAACCCTACGCGTCCCTTGGGCCTGTCACCCATCCAGCTCCCCTACCCCCAAGCCAGCACCCCCATCATCCCATGTCCTAGTCATTGGCACCCGCTCTGCCCCACACGGCCCCCGTGCCTGTCCCTCTTCCACCTCCCCTACCCCTGAGCCAGGCCTGCTGGCCCCGGCCCTGTGACTTTGGGGCCCCCTCTGGGGCTCTGTTCTGCCAGCTGGGTGGTGGGACACACAGGTGGGACTTCTCCTAGTCACTTGACTTCCTGTCTGATGACCGTCCCTCTCCAGGTCCCACCGGAAAAGGAGCCAGCCCAAGAAGCCCAAGCCGGAAGACCCCAAGTTGCCAGGGGAAGGGGCCACTGGGGCCACCCTCCTGGAGGAGCCTGGCGGCCTGAAGGAGGAGGCCTCGCAGGAGGCGGACCCTGAGGAGGAGGAGGAGGAGCCCCAGCCGACGCTGCCGCAGGGTCGGGAGGCTGAGGCCACGGAAGGTCGGTGCTGGCTGGGGACCCCCTTCCTGACCCCGAGCCGCATCTCTGTGGCCACAGGGTCCCTGCTCTTAAGGGTCCGATGCAGTTGCTTCCTCGGCAGGGTGGGGTATCTCCTAATAACATACACTCGAGGGGTTGTTGTGAGAAGACCCTCCTCCCCCAGAAACCGAAGGCGGCCTGTCCCTGCCACAGCTGCTGTGAGCGGGAGCCAGACGGGGGCGCTGAAAGCAGCGTGCACCCGAGGCTGGGAGCCCTGGACTCCAGTGCCAGCCACCCTCTGTTTCCCTGTGGGGAGGAGCGAGCTGGGCTGCCCTGCTATCCCGCTCCCGGGGGGGGGGGGGCGCCATCCGCATCCCCCCATCGCCTCCTACTGGGCTTCAGCTCGCAGCGTCTGTATCTGGGGGGACACCAGCCCTCAGCCCATGACAGAGGCGACGCCCGTCCCCATGAGGGGGCACCCTGCTGTTTGCGGCCACATCAGCGGGCGGCTGGCTGGCATTCTGGGGAGCAGGAGGGACAGGGTCTCAGAAATGCCGACGGCCTGTGGCACCGCTGTTCCCATGTTCCCAGCTGACAGCTTCGCCTGCTCTCCTGCGTGCACATGGTAGGTGCTCCCCAGGGAGAAGGGGGGCAGGCTGGATGGCAGATCACCCTGGCAGCCGCAGCTCAGGCAGAGGTCACCAGACGGTTCTGCCCCGGTCCTCGGTCTCCCTCCGGTTGGCTGGCTGTCGGGACACGTGAGCCCGGCACGGCTCTGCCAGTCTTGCGTGGAATCCCGCCGGGTGCATACGCATGCCCCGTGGCTGGTGTCAGGGATGATGCGACATCAAGGGGATCCTCCGGCCCAGGGTACAGTCGGGCTCAGAGGAGGTGCTGCTCAGCCGATAGGAGACACCGCTTCCTCCCAGGGCTGCGACGGTTCCCGTCCGCTGTGAGCGTACAGACCTCAGCACAGATGGGGTGAAGGGTGTGAAAGAGGCATCGGCGGAGGCCAGGCTGCCCGACTGGACATCAGACTGGCTGTTGGGGCGCAGGAAGGATGGGGGCAAGCAGGTAGCAGAGATGGAGACCACCGCTCTTTCCCGGGCTGGGCCGGGCGCGGCGACTTTCAGACGGAGCCTCGAATGTCCCAGCGCCTACACCCGCTCTGTCCGTTTTTTTTTTCAAGTCAGAACACGCCCAGCCAGATCGTGCACTGTTCAAGGGCACTGGAGTCCGCGGAGGCAGCCGTCCCCAAGGCCCCCCGGGCTGCGGGCCTCCACAGCAGGACTTCGTGGCCTCCCCGCTCTGGAGGCCAGAAGCCCAAGTTCCAGGGTTAGGACTTCACAACGGGAATTTGGGGTGCACGAGGAGAAAGCAGGGCTGAAGTCGGTGGAGGAAACCCAGCGGTGCCTTCCTCCGCCCTGGCTGCCCCAGGTGGGGGTGGGGGGCAGCTGGGAGGCACGTGTCCGGGGGGGCACATGGTGTTCCCGAGCATTGGGCCTCTAGGCCCTGCACCCCTGCCCTGTGTGCCCTGAGACCTAAGGAATGCCCATGATCAGACACCTGTCCCGACAGACGGGGCCGGCGGCCAGAGCCTGGGCTGTGTTGGGCAAATTGTAATTTCTCTGAGCTGGGCTCGGCAGCCAGAGCCTGGTGTCTCATCAGGTGTTTGCATTTGACCCTGGAGGCCATGGAGCCACAGGGAGAGGGAGAGCGGAACGTGTGATGTGGCCCGTGGGGGGCTCTGGCCCGAGGAGTTGGGAGACTCGGCGGAGCTGGCGAGGGCCAGAGTGGTGAGTGACCTGCCCTGGCCTGGGCGGGCACTGTGGGCTGGGTCGAAGGAGAGACCTCCTCCCTGATGCCAGGGCATGCGGTCAGGCTGGCGGAGGGACAGGCTGCCTGCGGCGGGAGGAAACTGGGTTTTTGCTGGACATGGCTATTTGCCTGAGTAGGAACAGCTCACTGGGGCCCAGCTGGGAGCCCAAGGGGACTCCTCGGGTAAGTGGTTCAGGTGTTCACAAGCGATGAAGGTGTCCGTGGGGCCCTTCTGGGGAGCGTGGAAAGGAGACCTCACGGCCAGTGCCGCCTCTGCTCCCTCCTGAGCGGACTGGCCCGAGGCTGGCTGGGCACCGCCGGGAGAACAGGACACTCGGGCGCCTGCTCGTGCGCCCTGCGCTTACCCAACTGCGCAGCTACGGAGTCATGCTTGTTTTTGTTCACTTAATCTTAATGAGTCTTTACCCAAACCCACTGACTCTTTAATAAAGACAACTGCCTCTCACCCGCAGTCCCCGCCCCCCGCCTGGGGCTTCCCCGGCTCCTGGCTGCCTGTGCCCAGTCCTGTCCTGGGGACGCCAGGGGCCTGGTCTCCCCGAGTCTCAGGATTCCGAGGGAGAGCTGCCCTGTCGAGGCCCCTTTCCCAGGGAACCGTCTTCCCCACGACTGCAGCCCCTCCCTGTCCTCTCCCCACCAGTCTCACCCTGGGACCGTGTCAGCGCCTCGGGGCACATGGACTCCAGGGAGGGCGGGGTGGTGTCTGCTCGGGGCGGCACACTCCCCCGTTCCAGACACGCCACCCCTGCCCCACGCCAGGGCCTGGAGGAAGGAGGATTGGGGGTATGTGACCCCTTTAGAGCAGAAGCGCTCCTTCTGGGCTGTCGGATGTGGCGGCCACAGCCCGTGCCAAGGGCAGAAGCGTCCTCTGAGGCACCCTCCAGCCGCTGGAGGGGAGGTCACTGAATTCATTGAATAGACAAGTACAGTCAGGGGTACACGTCCCGGGCGAGCGGAAAATTTTAAAGTGCTTTCCAGGTTTCCTTTAATACCTGCTTGATGTCCCTGGAAGCTCGAAGCGCTGAGGGTCACGTTGTGCTGCAGTGGGACCTTTTGTTTTGGGTTTGCTCAGTGACATCAGTGAAGGCTGTCACTTCGCGCCACGTGTAGGTGCCTGCTGCTCTGTGCCGGATGGCGCCGGGACTGACTGTCCCCAGGAGGAAGCTTCCTCAGGGCTGCCTGGGGCTGGGTCGCTGCTGGGGTCCCTGCCCGGCTCCTGCGGCCGGGCGGTCTAGGAAGAGCCTTGCGGCTCCTGGACCAGCAAACTCTGCCCACGCCCGCCGCGGACCTCGGAGGTCCCAAACCCAAGAGTAGAATGGCAGCCCGTGGCCGTCCTGGTTCTCTGGGCCATCTGGGGTTCCCGCCTCCTGGAGGGTCATGGCCATCTCAGGGGAACTCAGCCACCTGCTGTGGCTCGGTACAGCCACGGTCCCTTCTCGGAGCGGGGACAGCGCTGGGTCCCGGGAGTGCTGGTTTCATACTGCGCTGTCGTCCCTCTTGGGTCGGGCACGTGTGCAACAAGGGACCCCACCCTGTGGGCCAGACGGGCTCTAGATCCTGGGCCGTGTCCTCTCAGGGCCTCAAGGTGGGCCCAGTCCCCAGGGCTCAGGGAGGGAGTGCCAGGGGTCAGGACTGGCCTGACACCGTGATGTGTGTTTGGGTGCCCCAGCCGGCAGGGGGTGGAGGCTGGGCCCGAGTGTGTGAGGGGCTCTGCGTTACGCTTGCACACTTGTCTGGTCACACAGGACACATGTCCCCAGCATAGTTCGGCCAGGCCTCAGGCCTCAGTTGACCATGGGCATGCCTGCCTCGGGCTTTGTGCAGGACGAGGTTGGCGTCCGTGGGAGTGGCTGGGACTGGGGATCAGGACTGGCTCTCCTGGCTGGGGGAGGTCTCTAAAGTGGGCAGCAACTCGGGGTGGCTCCCCAGCCCTCCTTCCACGGCAGCAGCCCCGCGGACATTGAGCTCAGGGGCGTGGACCTTCCAGATGCTCTTGTGCACTCCCATTGGTGAACTTGGGGGCCGTATAGGTGTGCTCCCCAACTGAGCAGGCCTTTCAGATCTAAAGCTGGGAGGATGGGTGCTTGGCTCTGACTTAGCCCACTCTTCCAAAAACCTGCCGGAAGAGCCTCCGCTTGGAGGGGAAGTCCCTCCCATTCTTGGGGGCAGGGAGAGGCTCACGTGCTGGGGAGATCCCTGGCTGGGACCCTCAGCCCTGTGTGACCGTCACCTGCTCCGTTTCAAGGTTCCCTGAGGCCCAGGCATGTGAGGGGCTCGAGAGAGTCCCATGGGTGAGGCCCCTGCCCGGGGCCTCTGGTGGTTCCCAGGTCAAGGACAGAGCGCCGAGCACCCAGGTATCATTTCTGGTCGCTCCTTGTCCCCTAAAACGGTGCTCTGGGTGTGCATCCCCGTGGTTTGCCAGAGCCCAGGGGCCTGGCATGTTCCCTTTTGCCAGCAGAGCCTCTTGCTGGGGAGCGAACCGACAGTGAGTCGGTCCCACTGTCCTCAGGCAGGGTCAGCGCTCAGCGTGATTTCCATTCGAGAGGTCGGTGGGATCAGGGCTGAGGGAGTATTGAGTTTCCTCAGAGAACAAAGCTGTTGATCAGAAAGTACCATTTACGCAATAGGGCAGGCCCGTTGCCCTTTCCGTAAATTAGTAGAACAACTGCCATGACGTGCCTCGCCACTGCCACCGGCCTGTGAGGCTGATGTCCTGGGGCCCCCCGCCATCCCTCCCCACCTCTCCCCTCCATGTCCCCCCTCTGACATCATGTCTCTCCCCCCACCTCGTGCAACAGCTCCCCAACATCTCCCTGCTCTGTCTCTTCCCCGGTCCCATCTCTTGCCCCCACCTCTCCCTCCGACGTCTCCTCCCCACCTCCGCATCCCCCTCCAGCACGCGCTCCCCTCTCCCACATCCACAGGCTGCCTTTCGCTGCAGGGGCCCACCGAGCCCAGCATCTGGAGGGCAGAAGTGGTTTTGTCTGTGGAGCAGAGCGTCTGGTAGGGGCTTGCCTCAGCCAGAGCACCGTTCCTGGGGTGCAGGTGGCAGCGGCCGGGGCTAGGGAGCAGTCAGGCCTCCTCCAGGCGGAGCAGGGTGATGGGTGGGGCAAGGAGTGCCGCAGGCCCCTGCGATGCTCAGGACCCAGGGAACGAGCCAGGCCAGAGCGGGCATCCCCTTGTACTTAGGACCAGTGGAACCTCTTGAAAAACGCGGGATGTGTGCTGGCCGAAGACACGAGGAAGATGGGGGGCAGTGGGGAGAGGTGGGAAGGGCCAGGGGCCTGGCCCAGAGCCTCGGCAGGCTGACTAACTTATCCCAGGTTCTCAGGAAGCTCTCGGCCCTGGGCAGACCAGATGGTCTCTGCTTCCATGACGTCTCGCCCCTGAGAAGCCGGAACACACGCGAGGGCCTGAGCCAGCGTGCCCATTCTCTGGTGCGGCAGGCCAGGCCCGAGGCTCCAGGGGAGACTGTGTTCCCATCTTCTCCCGTTTCCGGGGGCGGCGCATCCTCCACTCGTGGCCCCTTCTCCATCATCAGAGCCCACAGCGCCGCAGTGACCCTCCCCCTGACCGCAGCCGGCAAGGAGCCCGGGCTTCTATGGATCCGAATCCCCGTTAGTGCACTGGGCGCATTGGGGCCCCCCCTCGGGCCGAGATCCTCGGCCACGTCTGCAGAGTCTCTGCTGCTTTTTGCCGTCGGGAGCTGGGACCGGGGCCTGTCTGGGGCCTGAAATTCTGCCAGACGTACTGTCGCACATTCACTTGCGCCGGATGTCCTAGCCCTGAGTTAGGATGCTGCTGCGGCCGCGCCTCCCTCCCTGACCTGCCCAGTCGGGGACCCCCCGGCGGCGGCCTCCAGGCCCATCCGGCTCCTGCGCTCTGCTCAGGTGTCCACTTCTCCACGTTTGCTGGTCAAGGTGGCACTTTCTAAAAATGGCGCGGGCTACACACAGGAACCCTGGAAACATATAGATCCCGGATCCCATCTTCCGTCTGCCACAGTCCCCAGGAAGGACACTGGGGGCGGGCCCTGCGCCCCCGCACCCCGGTCAGGAGCCCAGAAGCACAGAGCAGCTCTTCCTGGCTGCCTTCTCACTCCTTGTTCCAGAAGGCCCTCAGAGCAGCCGGCGGAAGCAGGATGGGGGCCAGGGGTGCCCCGAGGCTTGGGTGTGGGTAGTTTCCAGCCGCCCGGCAAGGGGACGCAGGGGACGTGTTGGCCGTTTGAACTTGCTAGAAGCGCGTGTTTGGGAGGGAAAGCCACTTCTCGCCTTGGCCGGTGGGCGGGGGGGGGGGGGGGGGGGGCTCTTAGGAGAGCGCGCGGCTGCGGGTCGCAGCTCTGACCTGTCTCTCTCCCCACAGAAGACGGGAGGGGCAAGCCGCGGCCGGCCAAGGCCAGGAGCGACAGGAAGAAGAAGAGCTATGGTCCCCCGCACCCCCACCACCCCCTCTTGCCCCAGCTGCCGCCGCCCCCACCCACCCAGTTCCCCGCCGAGGAGGCGTCCCGGCCGCTGCCCCCGCTGGAGCCCCCGCTGCTGGCCCCGGGCCCCGCGCCCGCGGAGGAGAACCCCCTGCCACCACCTCTCAACGTCATACGGCCCGAGGCGCCTGGCCAAGAGCCAGAGGTGCAGCCGCGCCCCATCATCCCCATGCTGTACGTGGTGCCGCGGCCCGGCGCGGCGCGCGACGAGGGCCGCGTGTCCTGCCAGCAGGCCTTTGAGCACTTTGCCCAGAGGGGCCCCACCTGGAAGGAACAGGCGGCCCCCATGGAGTGGACGGGTCCCGAGGAGGAGAGCGGAGCCGGCGAGGTACAGGTAGGGGCTGTCGGCAGGGGCCCTCGGGCTCGGGAGTCCTCTCTGCCCCGTGCTCCCGCCCTGTCCCTGCTCATTGGAAATGGCCCCCACGGCTCCCGGCCATCCCCTTTCCAGGGGCCTCGCCTGCGGGCGGGAACACCGGCCTCTGGCTTTGTCCTGATGGGCCGGGCTCCGCGGTGCCTCGCCGCCGGGCCCTCTGCACACGCCACCTCCTCTGCTTCCAGGCCCCGTCCACGTTTTCCAAACTGAAGATGGAAATCAAGAAGAGCCGGCGTCACCCCCTAGGCAAGCCGCCCGCCCGCTCCCCACTGACCGTGGTCAAGCAGGAGGCCTCGAGTGACGAGGGTGAGGCCCCCGGACCCCCTCCCCCTGCAGGACGCCTGACCCAGTGGCCCCTGCTCGGCCTGCAGTGCTCCCTGCAGCCACGCCCCGACCGCCCTGCAGAGACACCCCAGGGCATGACCCCCATCTTGGGGGCTCCGCTTCCCACCTTGGGGTGTTCGCTTTGCTCTGGTCCCCCGGCCTGAAATGGACACCATGACCTATGGGGGGCTCAAACCACAGCCTGCTGCGGAGCCCAAGACCACAGGTGCCATTTACCTTTGTGTGCCTCAGTTTCCCTGTCTGGAAGATGGGGGCTGCCGGTCCTGCGAGGCATCCTGCCGGGAAGGTGCGCCGCATGGTGGCGAGCCCGTGGCGGGTGCCGGGAATGCCAGGTCGGGTTGTTGTGCGCAGCTGTTTGTGCCTGTGCTCCGGCCACGCCCCTGCTCTCACGTTCTGTGAGAACCTCTCCCGTCCCTGCTGGAAGCCCCCTGCCCCAGGCCTGGGCTGGCCGCCCCCTGCTGCCGTGGGCCCTGTGTGTCCCCGTCCCTAGCTGGCCCCCTGGCAGGCGAGGATCCTGCCTTCTCTCACGGGCTTGGGATCTGCTGGGGTGCTGGGTGCAGAGGAGGCCCCTGGGGCACTACAGAGCGGGCCAGCGAGCGAGGGAGCTGAAGGGCGTGCCTGTGCCCTGTGTGCTGGTTGCACCCCTGCATCAGGCTTTGAGAAGTGACTTGGGGTTTGAGAATCGCGGGGCTGGGTGGGCGTGAGGACTGCCCCGCGGACGTGTCCTGGCTCTGTGTGTCCTGGCTCTGCGACCCGGGCCCATGTGTGGGAGCAGCAGGGCAGCTGCTCCCCGAGCTGCGCGTGACCTGACCTGGGGCTCCGCCGCCTGCTCACCTGGGCTCTTCCCGGTGGCCCTAGCTGTTAGTGGGGGAGGTTGGAACAAAGGCGATGCGGAGCTGGGGCCAGGATGCTGCTGAGAGCCGATCCACGGCCTCTTGCAGAAAGCCTGCTAAGCCAGCTTGCTTTCCGTGTACGCTGCCCGTGGAATTTGCATGTCGTCTGGACAGCTCCTTTCATTCTGAATCGGCTTTGAGGGTTAGGGTGAAGAGGGGTTCAGGAGGCGCCTGGGATCTGCAGGGCCAGAGCCCCAAGAGGAGGGGGAGCTCGCAGGAGGGCCAGACACGCCGGAGCCCTGCAGGCAGCTAAAGGCTGTTGGCGTGTTTCCAGAAGGTGCCAGAAGGTGCCTCTGAGGCCTCCCACACCCCCACTCCGTGGGCCCCTTGAGTGAAGCTGTGGCTCTTCTCTGTGAGACCCCCGGGAGCCCCAGAGCCCAGCGTGTGTCATGTGATCTTTGGTGACAGAAGGCAGGCCAGCAGCTCTTGTCACCTGCAGGGGGCCTAGGCCTATGTGGGGCCTCCTCCGGCAGAGCAGTCTTGGCCCTCGAGTCTGGCCCAGCCCCTCGGGGCGTAGAAGATCTGCACGTCCATCCCCAGGGGTCTGCGCTGACCGCCGCTTCCCTCTCGGGCGTCCCGGTTCCCACTCCCGGGAGTCAGGGCTTCTCCCCACCGTGCCTTGCCGGCCTGGCGGCTGTGAAGGTTGGGGCTTCGGGAGTGAGCACCCCGCTTCTCGGGGTGCTCAGCCCCATGTCATCAGGAAACACAGCAGCGGGACTTGAGGACATTGGGGCATGGCTGGCTGGGACATGAGACCAGCCACGGTGGCAAGCAGCAGGCGAGGGTCGTCTTGTTTGTGGCAGTCCTCGTGTGTACTGGAGTGACACTGCCCCCACCTCCTCCCGGCCGTGCTCCTCTCTTGGCTCTGTTGAGGTCGGACACCTGTCACCACCGATGCTCGCAGCAGAACCGGGCCGCAGGGCAGGGAAGAAAGGTTCCTCTGGGCGTCCAGCCATGCCGAGGTTTCTCTCCGCCCTCTCCCACCCTTCTGTTTTCCTCTAGAAGCCTTCCCTTTCTCCGGGGAGGAGGACATGAGTGACCCCGAGGCCTTGAGGCCTTTGCTCTCCCTGCAGTGGAAGAACAAGGCTGCCAGTTTCCAGGCTGAGAGGAAGTTCAATGCCGCGGCCGCGCTGACCGAGCCCTTCTGCGCCATCTGCACCCTCTTCTACCCCTACAGCCAGGTGGGTGCAGGGCAGCTGCGGGGTGGGCGGTGGAGACTGAGAACACAGGTGGCCGGGGTGTGGGGGGCAGTGGGAGGGAGCCCTGGGCATTCGGGGGCACATGAAACTGAAGGCAGGTAGGGAGAGCCCGGTATCTTGCGTTTTAGCAGGAAGGGACTTCTCAGTGGGCCTGGAAGTGGGGCTCCTGGGGGCGGGGTGGGGCGGGGCCTCGGGTGGCCAGGAGCAGCATGGGGCTGGCCACGGTGGGCCCAGCTGAGAGGCGGAGCGGGGGTGGGGTAGGGGGCAGGGCAAGCGCCCTAACAGCACCCAGGAGCCCCAGGGCACCTCTGGTGAGCCCGGTACTTGTTCTCAGCGGGGCCCCACTGTGTCCCGTTTCTAAAGTCAGGGACCTGGGCTCTCCCCGCTCTCTGTCTCAAGCCGTCATCCACCAGATCCTTCCCCCTTAACTAACCTCTGATTCCTCCCTGCAGCCCCCCACCCCCCCCTATTATCTGTCTTCTAGCTCTTTTCTCCCTCCCCTGCCCTGGCAGGAGCCTTTCCTGTTGGTGCCCCACTGAGCCCTGGGCACATGTTCGGGAGGCCACACCAGCCATGTGGTCCCTGGCTGGAAACTCCACCAGGCTTACCACGGGCCTCAGAATCAGTATGTCCCCACAGCCTTCCTCTGCCCTGGGATCTGGCCCTGCAACCCCACCCTCCACACACACAGTGACAGTGTGCTGACCCCCAGGGTCCCAACCACCCACCCCCTCAGCCCCCTGCCTTGCCAGACAGATTTCTGTTCATTCTTTGAGTCTGCTCAGCTGTCCCCTCTTCCATGAAGCCTTCCTGGACCTGCTGTCCCCGGGCACACCACCCTCTCCAGGCTCTCCCGCCTACCTCTGCTCTTGCTCCCATTCTCTCTGTTCATAAGCCCCTCGACTGTGAGTCCGTGGAGGACAGGACTCAGTCTCTAGGCTCCTAGCCCAGTGCCCACTTAGCTGAGTCGCCCCGAGGTCTGTGCCCCGAGCCAAGGCAGCGTGCTTGTCCTAAGGACCCTGCTGCTTCACGCTGCGTGGGGTACCGTCTCCATGCAGACAGGACAGAACAGTTGCCTTCTCTAGGCGTGACCCCCTTTAGTGCTGCTGGCAGTCAGGGTGCTGGGGACTCCGGCCCGAGATACAAATTTCCTTGAGTCCAGTGGCTCAGTTTCATGTGCCCACAGTCCAGTGTGGGTTTCTGCTGTCACAGCTCTGAGAGTCAGGGACCAGGCCTCACTTGCCCCATGAAGGGGACAAACGTCGTGCCTGGGCATTCTGCCTGATGGGGAACCAGCCATACCCTTAACCCCAGATGCCAGGCAGGGCGCCTCCAGCAGGGCTTTCCCCTCCCGGCTCAGAAGCAGTGCAGCTGCTCCTCTGGGGGGGGTCCTGAGACGGGCCTGGAGGGTGCGGGACGTGGGTGCTGCGGGCAGGATGTTTTCATCATGATCTCTTCATGAGATGGGATCTGGGGGCTTAGTGAGGCCTTTAAGGGACATACGTCAGAGGTGGAGAGAACCCTCTGTATAGATTCACAGGTGAAACTGTGTCAGTCATGGTCAGGATCACAAGAACACATGGAGCAGGGGTGAGGAGTGGGCTGGGGCCACTGGTCTTGTGGGCCGGCTGGGCTGTAGAACACATAGGAGCAGACCTCTGAATGTTCTGGCAGTGGGAACGGCACATGCAAAGGCCCTGGGGTGGGATGGTGCCTGGTTCCTGGGGTGTTAGAGGCCGAGCGAGGAGGCTGGTGTGGTTGGAGCAGCTTGATCGAGGGCCATGTGCCAGAGTGTGACCCTAAGTGGGAGGGTTTTCGGTGGGGGAGGGGAGACAGGGTCTGACTGTGTCCCAAGAGGATCTCTTGAGGGCTGTTGGGTCAGGGTGGAGGGCTAGGAGGGTGGGATGAGGCAACTGCAGGGCAGAGTGAGAAGCAGGCCAGGGCTGCTTGGGGCGAGTCGAGGGCAGAGTCAAGGATGGCCACCGTGCCCGGCCTGCTTTGCCCGTGCCCGCTGTCCTGCCCAGCCTGATGGACTCCTCTCTGAAGGTAGGTCCCTCCTCTTTCTCCTCCAGTCCCTACAGACCGAGAAGGAGGCTCCCCAGGCCTCCCTCGGGGAGGGCCCCTCGGCTGCTCCGCCTTCCAAAAGCGGCCAGAAGACGCGGCCGCTGGTCCCCGAGATGTGCTTCACGGCCAGCGGTGAGAACACGGAGCCCCTCCCCGCCAGCTCCTACATCGGAGACGACGGGACCAGCCTGCTGATCGCCTGCGCCAAGTGTTACCTGCAGGTCCACGCCAGTGAGTGCTGAGGCTGGGCCAGTGGCCGGGGGCGGGCAGCCGTGGGCTCTGCGGCCTCTCCCCGAGGGGCTCCCCTGCTTCACCCTCCCCGGCTTGGGTCAGCGGAGCCAGCAGGCCCCTTCCCTGGGTTGCCGTCTGGGGGCTGTCACGGGACCTCGCGCCATGGAGTGGCCTTCCCCTGGCCGAGTCTGACGGTTCCACTGAGGCCCGTCCTCGCCCGGGGCTCTGGCCAGCAGCAGGAAGGAATGTGGTGTCCGTTCCCTCATTTCAGAGTGCCATGACACTGTCGAACTGTGCACTTTGGGGCAGGAGTCAGATGGGAAAGCTGAAATTCTGGAGTGGTCCAGGGCTCTGATCTCCCACTGCTGTGGGCGACCACCCTCTCCCAGAGCCCGAGGGCCCCACTTGGCCCGAGACGAGAAAGTGGGCATCTGCCCCTTCTCAGGCGTGAGGCGTAGCAGCTGTGACCTTGAGCTCCCGGGTCCGGAAGGAAGCTTCTGGAGCGGTCCGGCTCCGTGGACCGCCCCGTGGAGGAAGGCGGCCGCAGATCTCCGCCAGCCCCTGCAGAGGCCTGACCAGAGCTCGTATCGTCCCCGGGCCAGGAGCCTGTTTGCTCTGCCTTGCTGGGTGCGGGCGTGAGACGTGCTCCTGCGCCGTTAGGCCCAGGCCTAGCCCACCCTCAGGAGGGGCCTGAGTAGGGCTGCGTGGGCGCGACAGGCCGGAAGGCAGAGGTCTCGACCGGGCCCTGTGGGGAGGTGGAACCCCTCTTCCTCCAGGAGACCGGCCCCTACTAGGCCTAGAGCTTGGCTCAGTGTCCCCAGGGCTCAGAACAGGGCCGGGCTCTAGCTCTTGCACACTTTGCTGTCCCTCGGGGCCTCTGGGGCACACAGCAGGCTACCTCTCTGCCGCCCTGCTGTCTCCCTGTGTTCCCCCTGGGGCCCTCTGTCTCTGGCCGTGGCCCACTGCAGCCGGCAGAGCCCCTGTTTGCCAGGTGACAGGACCCCAGGTGGCCGAGGGTACTGTCGGATGGTGACCTAGGGCATGGCCTCTTGACCCTCTGCCCCCCACTTCCCCGCCCCTCTGCCCATTTCTAAACCAGGACCAAGGTCCTAAGCAAACCCGCATCTCCCGGGGCCTCCAGTTTCTGGCTTCCTATGTAGTGACTCTGCCTGAACACAGGGCCCGGCCGGCTCAGCTCAGCCCTCTGAACCGCAGGACCGTGAGGCCCACTTTGCACCGCGCGCCTGCGTGGCCGCTTCCCCGGCTTGCCGGCCTCCCCTGGTCTGGAGAGCCTGGGCCTCCTCTGCTGGACTGGAGCCAGCAAGGGCTGCCCAGCAGGGGGCCTGCTCGCCCTCGCCCTACTTGAGTTCCAAACGAGCGGTTTCCAGACTGTTCCCGCTGTGCGCAGTGGCCTGGATTCAGGGAGAGAGTGCGGGGAGAACAGTTGCCCTAAATGCTGCTGCGGAGTTGCAGAAGGGCCCTGTGGGCTCCGCGTGCGCACCGCCTCAGTGGCCCCCTCCCCTGTCCTGCAGGCTGCTACGGCATCCGCCCTGAGCTGGTGAACGAAGGCTGGACGTGTTCCCGGTGCACGGCCCACGCCTGGACTGCGGTAACGCCCCCCGCAGCTGGGTGGTGCTCTGGGAGCCCTTGAGGCCTGAGGGTGGGGGGAGCTGGGCCCGGGACCTGGGGGACCTCAGGCTGGCCGCCTCGCCTCCCCTGGTCTCGGTTTCCTCAACCTGGACAGTGCGGGGGTGGAGCCCCCCGCCCCGTCCCGTCTGCGGCCACTAGTTGGAACTGGAAGGACTGTGGGCCCCAGGGCAGAGAGGCGGCACCCTGCGCCCCTCACCATGGGGTCGTCTGGTTCCCACAGGAGTGCTGTCTCTGCAACCTCCGGGGAGGAGCCCTGCAGATGACGACCGACCGGAGGTGGGTGGCAGGGGCCCCTCCTGGGTGTGTGGCCTCGGGCCCCGAGGAATGCAGGGGGGACCAGGAGGAGCCGCTGGCCCAGAATGCCCCTTAAGGTCCTGTAAGCCCCGCAGGAGCTGTGAGATGATCCCAGGGCCCAGGGGCGGGGTTCCTCCCGAATCCTGAACCCAGCCTCCCGCCGCAGGTGGATCCACGTGATCTGCGCCATTGCTGTCCCCGAAGCGCGCTTCCTGAATGTGATGGAGCGCCACCCCGTGGACATCAGCGCCATCCCTGAGCAGCGGTGGAAGCTGGTAGGTGCCCCGTGTCTCGCCCGGGGGTGCAGGGCGGCCGCCCGGGAACCGGATGCCACGGAGTCTGGTTTGAAGGTGCCCCAGGTCCCTGGCTTCCGGGGTCTCTGTGCAGAGACGTCCGTGGCCCAGCCAAGCAGCGTGCGCAGCTCATGCCTTCTGGCGCCCCAGGCTGGTCTGGTTACCAGGAGCTCCGCGCTCTGCCTCCCGACGCCCCAGCAGTGGTCATGCGGCCAGCAGAGCACGGCCTGCTCACCAGGCCAACCAGCCTTGATGAGTACAGAACCGCCACCGCCCGGCCCCTGCGGCTGCCCTTCTGCTCTGTGCGTCCAGGAGTTTGACTGTGAGTGGGGTCACACAGGACGTGTGCTTTGGGGCCCGTCCCCGTGGCTGTGTGTGACGTCCTCGAGGTCTGTCTGTGCGGCTGCCGATGGCAGCGTTGGCCTCCTGTGGCTGAGTGATACTCCTTCGTGTGGCCACGACGCATCCCAATCCGTTCCTCCACCGGCGGACGTGTGGCCGTTTGTGTGTCCCGCCGCTGCAGATGAGGTTGCCGTGAGCACCGGGAGGCATATGCCTCCTGGAGATGCTGTTTTCGTTTCCTTTGGGTCAGTCCCTTATCGTGGAATTACTGGATTGTGTGGTGGTTCTATTTTTTAACTTTTTTTTTAAGTTTTCTCTGTAACCCATGCGGGGCTCGAACCCAAAACCCTGAATCGGGGAGTTGCATGTCCTACCAACGGAGCCAGCCAGGCGCCCCTGCTGGTTGTACGTGACTTCCTGAGGACTCTCCACGCTGTTTTCCCACGCGGCTGCACCCGTTTGCGCTCCCACCCGCAGACCGGTGGGAAGGGCTCCCCTTCCCCCGCATCTTCGCCGACGGTGGGGATGATTTGAGCCGTCCTGGTCCTGCCAGGGGTGAGGCTGCATCTCAGTGCGGCTAGGGTTGCTTTCCCCTGTGGTGAGAGACGGGGAGCGTCTTTCCGTGTGCCCGTTGGCCACCTGTCTGTGCGCCTTCTGTGGAAAAATTCCGGTTTACGTCCTTTGCTAATTTTTAACTTGGGGGTTGCTTTTCTTCGTCGTGGAGTTGTAGGAATTCCGTAGCTGGCCCTGCCGATGCACGTGGTCCTTCCCTCTACAAGGAGGACCCAGCTAGCCTCGGGCGGAGTGTGGCCTCAAGGGGCTCACGCCACCTCCTCGCCAGTGGTGGTCACCCTGGGGCAGCAGCCAGAATGGGCAGAGCGTGACTGTGAGCAGGCCACTGGCCTGCCGCGTGACGTCGGACGGATCCCTTGGCCCTTGTGGACCTTGGCCTTCCTGTCTGTACAGTGGGCCGCTCGTGGCCACCTGCGTGGCCTCCTCGTGGCTAGCATGAACTGGGCCTGACCATCCAGCGTGGGGTCAAGCCATCTGCGGCCCAGCTCCTGCTCTCAGGCCTGTCCTTGCCCTGCCTGGTGAGCTCTGCTGTGATAATGTGTGCGGGGGCGTGACACCCAGGGGCGTGTCTCATGGCCTCTGACAGCATCCAGCGGCTTTTCCCCCTGGTTTTCCCCAAGCCTGGGGCACCCCAGCTGTTCCTTGGGGCCGAGGGCAGACACGTGGTAGAGCGGGCTTCAACCAAGGGAGTCCCTTGGGGTGTGGTGCTCAGAGCCCAGAGGCGTGGGGCCCTCTGGCAGGGTCGAGTGGGCAGCCGGAGGGAGCCCGTGTGGGAGGGGCGGGGGGCCTTGGCCGTGGAGCAGGGGTGGCCGGCGCTGGTCCCGCCAGGTGCGGATGGGTGACGAGGAAGAGGCCGCAGCCAGCGGGGGCTCCTGCAGGAGCTCGGGTGTAAAAGGCTCCATTATTCAGGTGGGGTGACGGTGCGGCGCATGGTGCCCGTGATAGACCGTCCCTCCCAGACGCTTTATGGATCATCTGACATTTCCAGCTTGCAGCCTCTTCATTACCAGCACTTGTAACGATGAATTAAAAATCCTTTTACACGAGGCTCACTTGTGCTGTCTAATGGAGCCTCGCAAGGAAGCCCGCAGTTAACTCCTGCTTGCCCAGCCACCCTGGCCGCAGGCTCAGGGATGGCCACTCCTGGTCCCCATCTGTCCGTCTGTCACCAGGACTACCTGGCCTCCGGCCCTGGGCACTGAGGGGTCCTGGCTAGCAGAGTGGCCTAAACGTACATTACCTGTTGGGTTCGCCAGATCATCACCCACACTCGCCCTCATCGCCAGGCTGGGCTGGTCCCCGGAGGAACGTTGGAGTCCGGTGGGGACTCCCGAGGGGGAAGGATCAGCTTGTGAGAGTGGTAGAGGCCAGGCTGGTGGGGGTCAGACACTTTGGATCCGTTCTGCTCCCTTGCCGGCCTGGCTTTGAGGTGGAGGGCTCACGTCAGTCCACACAAGGACGCTGGGCAGGCGCAGGGGAGTGGGTGTGAGGGGCGGGCTGAGGACATGGGACCTGGTGTGTGTGTTTTCGGGGGGTCTGCAGGTGGAGCACCCTCCCTGGCCAGCGTCATCCCCCCTACAGTGGCCCGCAGCTCCCCCAGACCGCTGCTCTCCACTGACATCTGCTGCCCCCCCTGCACCCCCCTCCCCCCAGCACCGGGGGTCCTGCCAGGTGTTGTGGGCGGGAGGGCCTGGCCCTTGTTCTAACGGATGCAGAAACTCAGAGCAAGGAGTTGCCACCCATGGGCTGAAATGCCTTGTGCTGTCAGCCTGGCCGCGGGTTCCTCTGGCTCTCCATGGTGGGGTCCGGCCGGGCGGCGGCGGGCACAGCAAGGCTGCTCGGGGCCCCACTGGTTTGGTGGCGGGACCCCCGCTCCCTGCCCTGGGGCTGCCGCATGTCTTCTTGCCTTCCTACCTGTGTGAGGAGGCCCAGTCCTGGAGGGTTAACACCGCTCCCGCCTGCGGTGTCCGCGCCTGTGTCCGCAGGCTGGTGGGGATTAGGTATCGACAGTTTAATAACGAGATCTCATTGCCATCGATCGGCGCTGGGCGCGCTCCTGTGGCGCCCTTTGCTGAGCTGCTTATCTGGCTTTTGAACATGGTTTACAGAGCGATAAAAGCCCGCTGAGTAAATGCTCAGTGACGGCGCGGGCACCGTTGCGGGGGGGCTGTCCCACAGTGTGTGCCCGGTGTGGGGGGTGAGGAGCTCCCTCGTGGAGGAGGCCACTCCACGGTGCCCTATATTGAAAATTGAGGTAGAATTCCTTATTTTCAAGTACACAGTTCAGTAGCTTTTTAAATACGTTTCCAGAGTTGGGCAACTGTGGCCAGTATTTAGTTCCAGAACATTCCATCTACCCAAGAAGAAATCTCATCCCCATCAGCTGTCACCTCCCCTCCCCCAGCCCCCGGCCCGCACGATCCCCCTTCCCGTCCGTGGAGGAGCCTGGTCTGGGCGTGTCACACGCGTGGACTCACCCCGTGTGGCCTCCTGCGTCTGGTTCTCTTCCTGAGTGTCATGGGCTCGGGGTCCATCCCCGGGGCGGCGTGTGGGGACCTCGCTCGGGCGGCCCAGGGACGTGCGTGTGGCCGGCTCCTCAGTGCCTGTCCCAGGCAGCCCTGCAGAGAGGGCGTGTGGAAAAGCCTCCAGAAGTGTTCCCGGGGGAGGCCCCTGGCTCGGTTCGGGGGACTCTCCACCAAGCGCAAGACCCCCGGCCACCACGTGGCGCACCGCGGGCTTTGCCCTCCGTGCCTCCCCCTCGCCCACCGCGGGGGCCGCTGCCTTGCCGCCCTGGGTGCCGAGGGCCTTTCCGGGGAGACTCCCAGCCCCATTTCCTCTGCTGCTGTCCCCCCAGAAGTGCGTGTACTGCCGGAAGCGGATGAAGAAGGTGTCGGGCGCCTGCATCCAGTGCTCGTGTGAGCACTGCTCCACCTCCTTCCACGTGACCTGTGCCCACGCCGCCGGGGTCCTCATGGAGCCGGACGACTGGCCCTACGTCGTCTCCATCACCTGCTTCAAGCACAAGTCAGGGGGCCACCCCGTGAGTGCCCCGCCCGCCCCCGCCCTCCCCCCCTGCAGCCGCCGCCCGCGTGCTGATGCAGCCCTGTCCCCCCCGCCCCCGCCCCCAGGCCCAGTTCCTGAGGGCCGTGTCCTTGGGCCAGACGGTCATCACCAAGAACCGCAACGGGCTCTACTACCGCTGCCGGGTCATCGGCGCCAGCGCACAGACCTTCTACGAGGTGAACTTCGACGACGGGTCCTACAGCGACAACCTGTACCCGGAGAGCATTACTGTGAGCGGCGCGGGGAAGGCGGGGCACGGGCGAGGGGAGGGGGCCCCCCACTCTGCAGGGTGGGTTCTGCACACACACAGCGGAGGGCGGTCGTTCCAGACAGGCCCGCAGCCTGGGGGCCCCTGTGCCCACACGGCGACCATGAGAGTTCGGGCCCGGCCCGCCACCGCACTCCTCGCTGCCAGCACCGGCCCTTAGACGGGTGAGCGTGCCCAGCGCGGTGTGGGAGCCGACGGCCGCCCCCCCCAGCAGGCCAGGGCCCCCGGGGCCGCACCTCCCACCGCCTTCTTCCCCTGCAGAGCAGGGACTGCGTCCGGCTGGGACCCCCGCCCGAGGGGGAGTTTGTGGAGCTGCGGTGGGCGGACGGCAACATGTACAAGGCCAGGTTCATTTCCTCTGTGACGAGCCACGTCTACCAGGTGAGCGGGGCCCTGCTCTGCGGGCGGTGCAGGGGCGGGGGGCCCTGGCCAGTTCCTGCCCAGCCGGCGTACACGGTCAGGCCTCGTTACACCTGGGAGCTGGGGGTCTCGGTTGGCCGCCGTTTTCCCCAGAGAGACGTCTTCGGTTGCGTGTGTGGGAGATGACAGACGTAACGTGAATTTACTATGTTAAGCATTTTTAAGCATAAGGTTCAGTGCCCCTGATTTTTTTTTTAACCCGGATGGTTGCGAGTTTCTTCTCACGATGGTGGGAGAGAAATGACTTAGTGGCCGGTGGTCTGGGAGGAGGGTCACCCGCATTCCAGCTGCCCAAGTCGACGGCCGCTCGTCCTCGGCCGGTCCGTGCTCTCCGTGTGTGCCAGCCCCCAAAGCTCTTCATACCGCATCCTTGTACACCCCGAAGCTCCTGCCCTTCCTCGACAAGTGGGGGTGCCCCTCGGGAGGCGGCAGAGGCCATGCCTGACGCCTGCTGCCCTTTGCAGGTGGAGTTTGAGGACGGGTCCCAGCTGACGGTGAAGCGTGCGGACATCTTCACCCTGGACGAGGAACTCCCCAAGAGGGTCCGGTCGCGGCTGGTAAGTGGCCCCTGAAGCCCTCGGTGGTCCTAAGGGAAGCAGCCCTGCTGAAAGGCCTCGACCTCCCCTTCGTCCTGCTCCCCGGGAGGGCACCTGGTCAGTGGCAGGAAGGACGGGTTCCAGGGCCGGTGACCGCCGCACCAGCAGGAGGCAGACCCGCAGGAGCCCGGCCCCCGGCCATTGTGCTCGCGGTGGCTGCTTGAATACAGATCCGGGCCCAGCGCTGGCGGCGCAGGCACACGCTTCGGCAGAGCTCATCCCTTTTCAAAGGGAACGGCGAGTCCCAGGGCTGAGAGACAGTCACTGGCCTTTTCTCCCAGGCCTTCTGCGCTTGTTTTACTGAAATGTGTAATCTGAAGGCAAGGTTCTGGGGCGCGGGCAGCTGTGGCGGTCAGTGAATGAACTCCAAGTCCGAGTGGGGATGGGTGTGGGTCGGACCGCTGACCTCCGACTGGAGATTCCCAAGGGGAAGGATGAGGCCTGCAGACACAGCGAGGCCGGGCTGCTCCTCGTGGCCACTATCTGGTGGGACAGACCGGGCGCAGGCCGCCAGCTCTCCCTGGGGCTGGTGGCTGGAGGGCGGGGCCCCCTGTCTCTGGGCGCCGCCTGCCGGGAGGCACACACGCAGGACTGGGGGTTCACTCAGAGGCAGAAGCGCCGAGCAGCCACCCCTGGTCACCACCCGGTGTCACTCTCAGAAGGTCCCTGGGAGAGGGAGCCCCCGGGTCAGTCTCTCGGGGCTGCTCTAACGAAGCCCCACTTCTGGGGGCTTACGGTACAGGCGGCATTTCTCACGGTTCTAAAGGCCGCATGTCTGAGGTCAAGGCGTGGGCAGAGTTGGTGGCAGGGGACTGTGACTTCCGATTCACAGACGCCTCCTCCTGGTGTCCTCTCGTGGCGAGAGGGAGAGCTCCAGGGGGTCCTTTTGCTTTAAGGGCACTGGCCTCGTTGCCAAGGACCCCCCACCTCCTGCTGCCAGCACCTCGGGGGCCAGGCCCGGACAGATGATGGGGGGACACAGACCTCGGGTCTGCGACGTGCTGCCCACTAACCGCTGTGCTGTCTGGTGTCCTGCAGTCGCTCAGCACGGGGGCGCCGCAGGAGACTGCCTTCTCGGGGGAGGACGTGAAGGCCGCCAAGCGCCCGCGGGTAGGCGCCCCGCGGGCCCCCGAGGACTCAGGGCGGAACCCGGACTACCTGGCGTTCATGGAGAGCCTCCTGCAGGCGCAGTGCCGGCCCGGGGCCCCGTTCTAGGACAGCCAGCCGCCCGGCGACCCCTCGGCCCAGCAAGGCAGGCGGCGGCGGGCCCTGGCGTTTGCTTGCTGTGAATTCCTGTCCTCGCCTCCCCCGGCCCCGAGAGGCTACCTCCGCGCGCGGCCGCCCCGCTCCACAGCGACAGGAGCGAGCAGGACGCCGGCGCGCGGCCCGGACTCAGGGAGCAGGGCCACGCGGGCTCTGGGGGGTCCGGCCGGGGACTCGCCACCCTCCCCCCACGACTCAGATCCGTAAACCATGTAAGCTCTTCTTCTCGAAAAGGTGCTACTGCATTGCCTGCCTCCTGAGCAGCCTTTGAGATTGTGACTTGTGTACAGACATCACCTTTGTGAGGCTCTTTCTAGAAATACCTATTGTTTAAAAAAAAAAAACCTGAGAAAAAAAGGAAAATGAAGAAAAGGAAAAAAATCCCCAAAGTTGTTTTCTAGATTTGTGGCTTTAACAATGAAGCAAAACGAAACAAAATTGTTCTTTTTCTCAGAACCAAGATACACCGAGGGAGATAAAAGCATCTCGTTTTTGTTTGTTTGTTTGTTTGTTTGTCATTGTTTTAAAACCTCGCTTGTCTCCGCGAGCAGCAGGGAGGCCCAGGCAGGGCGACGGGGCGGCATGGTCGCGGGCCTGGCCCTTGTCTCCCCATGACTTGGTGAAGGTCTGGGCGGCTGGTACCGCCTCCTCGGCCCGTGCCACGGCTCCGCGCCGACAGGAGGAGGCCGGCCGCGCGCTTTGGAGGCGACCGTGGTCGTGGGGGTCCAGGAGTCCCCCTCCGGTCCGTGCACGCCGTCACAGAATAAACACTCTCTCTGGTTTGCTTCTTCCCCTGGTGAGAACCCACCGCACGGCTGAGGCCTCCAGTGTTTGCAGAAGGGCTCGGTGCCCACAGAGTGTCCCCAGCACCGCCCGGGGGCCCTCCTGTCGCCCTCCTCCCGCAGGGTGGGTGGCTGGCTGCCTGTAGCCTGCTGGGGAGGGACGACGCGGGGCCACGCAGGCCTCCGGGTGGCCTGAGTCTGGCTGTTTCCCTGTGCGGGCGAGGCCTGTGTCCCCGGGCTCTGGCCCCCCAGGCGCCCCCCTGGCCCCCCGCGTTGGCTGCTGTCCGCGTGCCGAGGGGCGCACACCTTGGACCCTGAGGGGCCAGTGGCACCCTGTGTCCCATTGGGAAGCGTGGATTTGTGCGTCTGGGGGGGCAGCCGGAGAGAACCAGACCCACCTCCGGAGAGCTGGAGGTTGGATTTATGAGAGCGTGCCTGCGAGGGGCTTGGGAACCCCCCGCCCCCTGCCCCGGGGAGCCTTTCCCGTTGCGGGAGGGCCCCTGCTGTCCTGCCCAGGGACCGACAGCATAATTTTGCTTGTGTAAAAAAAAAAAAATTAAAAATTAAAAAAAAAGAGTGTTCTGATGGTTGCCAGGCCAGAAAGAACTATTATAAGGAGAACGGAAAGAATGTAAATGAGCCGGGAACCTTTCATTTGCTTGGTGGGGGGGGGCGGGGGGCAGGTGCCCTGGAGCGGGGCGGGGGCGGGAGGCCCGGAGGGGAGTCAGCCGGGATGTGGGGGTTTCCCCGCCCAGACGCGGCACTGTGTTCATATGTAGTTTGAAAATGCTATTTATATTGTACAGAGAACAAAAAGCGGGCTGGCCCTCTGGGTCGGGGGTGGGGGGGCCAGACCCAGGGGGTCTTTCTGGGTCTAGGGTGACATGCAGACAGGCCGCGGCTCAACAGGGGAGACGCACATTTCCCTGCAAAGGTATATCCGTGTCTATGTACAAAAACGAAAAACAAAAAAACCCACCCACTCTGATTTTTCTCCCACCCGAGATTAAGGATGCGCTGTATTTTTGCCTAATTTCCCCTGCCTCTAGGTTCATAATGAATTAAAGGCTCGTGAGCACTGCGAATTACAGCTCGCTGTCGTGGAGGTGTCTTCATTTCTGGGTGGGGGCCGGCAGGCTGGGGGTGGGGGTGGTCCTGGGCCACCTGCTCCCAGACGGAGCCGGGGGAGGCCGTCCCAGGGGGATGCAGGGTGGGAATGTGGTCTTGGCTCCTGCTTGCGGCCTCCTGACGGCGCCCGTTCCTTCCCCAGCCCATGTCTGTCTGTCTCCCCGCCGCTCGTGTTCGCGCTGACCCCTTGCTGGAGGCTGTCGGGCTCCACTCACAGGCAGGCTGGGGGCAGCTGTGGCCGGCGCAGAGGGTCCCCTTTGAAAGACAGTCCCTGCTTGTCTGGGGCCAGGGGCCACCCTCCCACTGCCCTCCTGACTGCCCGGTTCCGGGAGCGTCTGAGCCAAGAGCCCGCCCAGACCGTGGGGTCTCCCAGGCTTGGGATGCGTTGGGGCCCCTTCCCTTCATGAGTGACAAATCCTGGGCCTGTGGCACGGGTGAGGTGGGTCTGATCCCTGTCCTTGTGGAGCCAACAAGACTGGGAGAGGCAGCCAGTAAGTATGGCTCTTCTGGTGACGTAGAAAGAGTAGAACAGGGAGAAAGGTGCTATGTTCACACGGGTTGTCCTGAAGGGGACGGTGGAGTGTGGCAGGGGGCGTCTGTGAACGCCCTGGGGCAGCTCCGGGCCTGGCCTGCTGGAGGCTCATGTGGCTGGAGCAGAGCCGGTGAGGGCGAGACTGAGGAGGGGAGGACAGAGAGGAGATGGGGACGGGTAGTGCAGGGCCTTAGGGACCCCATGGAGGACTTGGGCTTTGACCTTGAGGGAGGAGGGAGCCCTGAAGGGCAGAGGGCAGGAAAGGGCAGACCTGACCGGGCCGCTCACGGGCGCCCTCTCGCGGCTGCTGTGGGGAGTCTGTTCTCCACCCAGGGAGCGGGCCACTGACCCAGGTGGCCTGGCATGGCCACAGAGGCCCCACGGCCTCTCCCCCTCAGACGTGCGACCGTGCAGAGCCCATGGGGGTCGTGCCGGGGCCTGTGCTGGGCCCTGGAGAAAGGCCCGAGGACAAGGGAAAGACAGCTGCTGCTTCTCTGGAGTTTGGGGTTCAGGAAAGCACAGGGTACCCCAAGCATGGCTGTGACGCATGTCCCCATGGACCGAAACAGGCAGAGATGCAGTGCGGCCTGGCGGTCACTGTGGCTGTCGGAGAATGGCCAGAAGACTCTTCCAGGAGGTGATGTTTAAAAGATCTGGCCTTTGAGGGATGGCCCATCAGAAAGACCCCGGACGGGTGCCCAGTGTGGTGAGTACACTGTCCGAGGGCCGGGCTCGGCGACCTGTAGCCCGTGGGCCGAGTCCAGCCTTCCACCTGCTTTCTGTAAATAAAGTTTTATTGGCACACAGCCATTCACTTCGTGTCATCTTGGGGGGCTCCGGCCCTGCAGTGGCAGAGACCACCCTGCCCACAAGGACAGATACTGGCAGCTTCTGGCCCCTCCTGAGATACATGTGCTCACCCCAGACCTAGAGCAAGTGGGAGGCTGTGGGTGCACGTCCCCTCCGTGGCCACCGCAAAAGCGCTCCCCCGTGGGGGCGGCTACCTGCCCAGCCTAGACCCGCCCCGTCTCCCGAAGGCCCCCAGCGAGGCCACCTGCACTGCCCAAGCCCCCTCCCCCTCCAGCAGCCAGGGACAGTGAGATGCCCGGTGTCCCCCCACCGCCGTGCAGCTTCCATCCTGGCCACTTAGCAAGGGACAGGGACAGATGATGCCCTCCCAGAAGCCTGTACAGGGGAGAGGCAGGGAGGGTCTCTCCTGCTCACACCACCAGCCCCAGCGCCCATTTCCTGTAGAAACACAAAACCCAAGGTGTGGGAAATGGGGTGTCTGGAGTTGTTTCTGTGGCACCGGCCCTTCCGAGTGGCCCCTGCTGGGCCCGGACCCCCACAGCTCTTTTGTCCCCAAATCAGCTTCCTGGGGCTGTGGTCACCAAGGACCGTGAACTGAGTGGCTTGGAACAGCAGACACATATTCTCTCGAAGCCCTGGAGGCCAGTTGTCTGAAATCCTGGTGTCACGGGACCCTCTCCTGTTCCTCTCTGTCCCTAGAGGCTCCCAGGGAGGACCTTGCCTGCCTCTCCCCACTTCGGGGTCCCAGCATCCCTTGGCTTGTGGCCGCATCGGCACGTGACCATCTCCCTGTGTATCTGTGTCTTCCCTGCTCTCTGTCTCCTGTGTCCATCAGCCTTTCTCTTGGAAGGGCACCGGGCGTGGGATTTAGGGCCCCCTGGATAACCAGGATGCTCCCCTCATCTCAAGCCCTTAACTACACCTGCAAAGATACTTTTTCCGAATAAGTTCAGAGGCCCTGGGAAGTAGGGCATAGCCTGTCTTTTGGGGGCACCCCAGTCAAGCCACTCCAGCATCCTTTCCCTGCCATGAACCCGATGGTCCCTGCTGTGACCGTCCCCCGACGTGAGCGTGAGCCCCATGTATGTAAGAACCCACCATGCTGGACCCAGGGTCTGGGACAGGTGGATCTTTGAGTCCCGGTGTTGGTGGGTGAGCTCTGGAGAGCCTTGGGGGGGCTGGGCACCCATAGGGGCAGGTGGGAAAGGGTCCAAAGAGATGGGGCACGGGAGAGAGTAGCAGGGCGAGTGGGCGACTTCTGGACATACTCTCAGAGCAGCCCAGATGACAGCATAGCCTGTGTTGCGCACCACACCACACACGGTGGCTGATTGAAATCCGGCAGGATGCTGTGGGGATCCCGAGACGGAAGCCACATGAACCCAGCTGTGCCACAAAGAGTGTTTTGAAACTAGTGTTCCGATTGGATACTGTTCGGCTAAAAACAAAGATACCAGGCATCCGGGTGGCTTGGTCATTAAGCATCTGCCTTTGGCTCAGGTCATGACCCTGGGGTCCTGGGATCGAGCCCTGCATTTGCTTCTCCCTCTCCCCCCTGCTTGTGCTCACTCTCGGGCTGTCTGTCTCTCTCAAAAAAATAAAATCTTTAAAAGTTTTAAAAACACGAAGATACCTACACACGGACTCCGTGCTCTAGTTAGAAAACCGTGTCCCCACAGCTTAGCCATTCTGGAGGCGCTTTATGTAAATACAGGGGCTGGACAAGTGGGCAAATTAATGGTTCATGATGAGGGCCAGGTCTCCCTCTGTCAGAGAAAGAAATGACGAATCAGCCAAGGGCTGGGAGCACCGAGAACTGACCTTGTCCTGGGTGGCATCAGGATGTTGGGATGAACTCATGGTTTTGTACACAGAGAGACTATAGGTGTGGACAGATGGCCAGGCGTCATGGACGGGTATGGAAGTGAGCACCAGTGTGCACACGTGCGGCCGCATGGTGCCTGCTGCGGTGAGCACCCTTGGCACCTGGACTCTGGCTTCTAAGTACCATCGCACCGTGCGAGGAACCAGAGCTCCTCGGAGAGATCATCCCCAGTGTGTCTGGGGTAGGGAACACGCAGGATAAACTGGGACTCGCTGGTGTTGGCAGAGAGCAGGGAAATAACCGGAAAAGGACAGGGACGCCTGGAAAGGCCACGCGCAGGGGCTGAGGCCAGAATAATTGTAACAATGAACTCAGGGATGATATTGGATTATAATCTACAGAATAAAATAAATAGCCAAACTCCTAGAGATGAATGGATGGATGGATGGGTAGGGGGAGGAGAAGGTACAGCTCTTCCTTGCAGATCCTGATTACTGAACGGAGGAGGGAAGAGAGGAAGGGCGTTTCTGTCCAGGTGACTGGCGGACAGTCACTCCGCAAACGCTGACGGAGCACCTTTCTCGTCCTGGCTCTGTTCCAGGGCCTTGGGCTGCCCTGCAGAAGAAGACAGGATAGAAAGAAAACCTCCCTGCCCACAGGAGCTCACAGCCTCTCGGGGGAGGCAGATGGGGGCTGGGGCGGGGCAGTGAATGTATATAGGGCATTCAGGGTCTTGCTGAGAATGTGACATTTGAGCAAAGACCTGAAGGAAGTGAGAGAGTGATCGAGTGTACATCTCGGGGATGAGAGCTCCACGGGGAGGGCATAGCCAGTGCCAAGGCCCCGGGGCAGCACTGGGCCTGGTGTGTTGGAGGAACATCGAGAGGCCCAAGCAGCTGGTACAGAGTGAACAAGAAGGACAATAAACACATGGATTTAATATTTATTTAGGGCCTACTGGATACCATGGCTTTAAGAAAAATGAAGCCAGGGAAAGGGATAACTGATAAGGAGGGGCTATTTTGGCCACAGAGGCAAGGTAGGCCTCACTGAGGAGGTGACATTTCAGTAAACACCGGAAGGAGGTGAGGGAGTGAAGTAGGTGAGATCTGGAGGAAAGGTGTTCCTGGCAAAGTGCATGGCACGTGCCAAGGTCCTGGGGCAGCACTGGGTCTGGAGTGTTGGAGGAGCAGCAAGGAACCCCTCTGGCTGGAGCAGAGTGAGTGAGGGGAGAAAAGGAGACAGGGGGGCTGGGAAGGGGGATTGAGACAGGTCCTGCAAGGCCTTGGGCTTCCTACCTCCAACCCAGGGAGGTGGGAGTCCTGGAGGGCTGTGGGCCCAGGAGGGTAGGACCCTACTCAGTGAGTGTGGTAACCGCTGTGGGAAGGTTGCATTGTGGGGGGTGAGGGTAGGAGCCTGGGGTCCGGGATAGAGGAGACTGCGCTGGTCCGACAGGAGGGATGATGGGGCAGAACAGGTGGAAACCAGGAAGGGACCATTCTTCCGGGTTAGCAGTGTAGAGGTCCGTGCTGACCCTGGAAAGGGGCATGGGGTGGAGCAGGAGAGCGAATGTGTGGCTGGAGGCGGGGTGGGGGGGGTCCGCATCTTCAAACACAGAATTCTCTGGTGAAAAGCAACACTCCATTCTAAGGACGGACTGTGATTGTAATAAGTCAATCCTCTATTAGTGGGGACTAAGGGTGTTTCTGGCTTTTCCCAACTAGGACCCATGCTACAGTGAGGCAGGGTTTTTGTTTTGTTTTTGTTTTTTTCCAAGATTTTATTTATTTGAGAA